GAATGGGCTGCAGAGGCCAGGAGGGCTGCACCCAAAGAGACCCTGCCTGGCCCCCAGCACAGCCACTGCCTCGGCAGAGAAAGCCATTGCTACCCGTTTGCCCCCCTAGAATGAACAGCCCTTTGCACCCCCTGAAAAAGCAATTAAAATATCACCATAGCAGCAGCATCTCCTGTTCGCCGCCTGCCACAGCAGCTGGGGGGACGGGGCTGGGACTGATGGCACCTCCAGAAATAAACCTGGGACAGCATGGGGTGATGAGAGGAAGGTTACCAAAGGCTGAGCGGCAGGAATGACATCTCAGCGCCGAGACCTCTGAAACACAGAACTATTTCCTGGGATATTTGGAGATGTCTGAAAGCGGAATAGGATGAAAGTTGCAACTCACAGGGGTTCAGAGCAACTTCCAAAAACACGGTGTGAGGCAGAAAACAGCAGTGTCCCGCTCCCTGCCCACCCAGGGCACGGCCACACGAACACAGCAGCCCCTTCTCTCTGCGAAGGTGGCTGCAGGAGACATCACCCGCTCTGCAGTCTGCCTATATTCCCCTCTGGAAGCAACACCACCTCTGTTACACATATAAAGGGGCTGTCAACAAACAGCTTTTCCACCTGGGAAGAGACCATGCTCAGCCACCCCCAGCAGCGATGTTCAAGCCTGCAACTTGACGAGAGTTCTCGAAACAAGCCTGCCAAGAGGATGAACCAGTGGCAAAGCAAGGCAGAAGCTATTAAAGAGTTACAGATCTGGGTAAATCAAGGTACACACTGCGCTGATCTTGACTTTCATCCAGGGCCCGGGTACAGTGTGGACTGCTGGAAAGCCATGCAGAGGTCCAGCCTGCCCGGCTGGTCTGGCAGCACGCTCAGCAGGAGCAGCCCAAGGGCAGGGTGCAGGGAACCTCAGGGCTTCCCCGGGGCTCAACCTACCAACTCCCTCTCTCCCTGAGAAATAACCAAGGGAGAGCAGAAAGGCAAAACTAACTGCAGGTTACGCAGCAGGAACAGCCAGGCAGGGGAGCTGTTTTACACACGCGAACTTGCTGAGCCATCTCTACATATCTTTATTGCACACATCTATCCTTACATATCTCATGGGATGAGGCCAACTTCCCTTCCCAGGACAAACTATTTCTACTTTATTCTGCCAAATCCATCTGTTCCCAAGACAACTTTTGTTACTGCCTAACACAGATATTTTGGAAGGGTAAATCTTCCCCTCGTTCTCCCACCCTCCCAGTTGCTGGATCCCTCAGAACATTCCCCGAGTGATCCTCCAGCCACTAAAAGGGATTTTTTCCTCCTGGCAAAGCTTGCGAGATGCCCAGGGGCACGGCATCCCTGCACAGGTAAGCTGGACCACACCACCTTCACAAATCCCCTGAAAAACATCCACCTCCTCTCCCCCAGCGCCTGCTAAAGCCGCCCGCCTGGTGCAGAAGCCTCTCCAGGACCAACGTTTTATTTTCAGGCCTCCTGGCAATGAGCTTGTCGGTTATAAGTGGCATCTTGGGTGAGAACGATGGAGGTGAGCTAATTAGTGGGTGGTGTCTGGAGAGGCAGTGAAGTGCCAGCCACCCCAGGCTCTGTTTGCTTTGGGTGCCCAGTGTTGGATGACCGATCCCAGTGGGGTGCGAGCGCATGTTTGCGCCATACAGCCTCTGGAAAACATTTGCACCGACTTGCAATTTGGGGGAAAATACTATAATTTATTTGCAGGCATGATTTGCCATTAGTGTGGCATAAATATACGTGTGTGTATGTACACAGCTCTATTTTTAGAGCTGCATGGCCAGGGTGCCGGCTCCACGGTTACTCCATCGACAAACAGGATGAGCTGGGAGGTTTTCAGTCCTCCCCCTTATTGTAAACATTATCTGCCTTCACAATCCTTAATGTGTTGCAGATGTGACAAACAATAAAAGACCCATCATAAAAAAAAGCCTGCCATTCTGTGTTTCCCACTGGAGCAACATAATAATGAATTTATTAGCATATAGCGCTCACCAACATATGTTTATAGTCACTCACAAACTTTTGACTTGACAGTTTACAAGTATGTTTAAATCATTAAAGTTGAAGTCGACTGTCCAGTTATTACAGGCTCATTATAAATAGGAAACAAAGGTTACATTTTATACAACAGACGATAAATCAAAACTAGTCTGTATTTGAGACTGACTATTTTTTTTTCCTCCTTTTGCTCTTTTTTTGTCTCCACGTTTTCAAGACCTTCTAAGGGGACATCTTGGTGAGGCCAGTGCCGAGCAGCTGTTTGCCATTAGCCGGCAGGACCAGTGGCACCCGCGCTGGCGAGCAGCAGAAACTCCCACTGCATCCAAGAGATGCGAAGACCTCAGAGGTGGCAAACTCTGCCAACATTTTCACTCAACCACTGACCAAACGCAGTGCCAGCCCCAGGCACCCACCTCTCCTCCTCCCCAAGGCATCGCCAAGTGCATCTGCAAGGCACTGGCGACCCTCTGCAAGGGAGGAACATCTCCCCTTCCACTACAGGGCCAAGGAAATTTCCTCCTGAGCCTCTACGAAAGGGAAAACAAAGCACCCAAGCTGCGTTCCCCAACTGCAAACCTCAGAGTCGACAGAGGCACTCAAACACCCTCGAAGGGGGTTTTGGGGTTTGACCACTGCGCTATGACACAGACCCCCGGCCATCCAGCCACGTTCCTGCCTTAACACTGCTGAGCATCCAGCACGGGATAAAACCAGAGAGACAGTAACTCAACCCCAGCCACTCCCAGTCCTTTCTGCCTCTAGTACAGGGTAACCACCTTGGGAAGAAGAGAGATAAAGCCACACTAAATGTAAAAGTTCATTTTGTAAACTATTTCCAGATTTCAAAGCCTGGCATCATTTCAGATCGGGATGCTAACCTAAAATTTAAAATTTGTGGAAAGGGGGGGGAATGTACAATGGTTTCTGGTCCCTTTTATTTCGTGCTATGTACATGTGATATGATGGAAAAAAATTAATTGAAAAATGCCCTTTCAAAGTAAAAAGAAGTATCATTCTCAAAAATGTTGAAAGTGAGTATTTCCACATCATCAGCAACTTTTCCTGGGCTTGTTTCCAACATAAAACTTGAACTGAGTCACAGTTTACATCCAATACCAACCAAATAGGATTCTGTCACTGTCAGATCAGCTTTGCCTTTCTGCTCTAAAGCAAAACACGAAAAAAAAGAGCATTATGGCCTGGGCAAGTAAGGGAGCAGCAGAAAGTCTCCCTGGCCACCGCGACGGCACAGCTTACGTCCTCTGAAGCCGGTAGGTGCCTAAGAGCTGTGCTGGACAAACCTCGCGCTCTCAGCAACCTGAAACACTTAACCTGCCAGGAACGCAATGCCCCAAAGCCACCGCTGCTTAAAAGTTAATATTTACCCATCCTGCAGCAAAGGCAGCAGCAAACACCCTCCAGCCGAGCAGCCCAAGGAGGACAAGTCCTCTTTTCCTACAACATTTTCACACACCGCAGCGACAAGAGAGGTCTAAATTGCTAGACTGGCAGGTTGTCAGGGAGATCAATACAGTGATTAAACTAGCCTGGAGAGACAGAAACAGGCAGAAAGGATTATATGCCCGGCTTCAGAAATCACCGATGATGTTGTGGGGAAGGCTATAAGAGGAAATTAGAAACACACTAAAAATAGCATAAAGGTGTGACACGATGATCATGGAAAATGAAACACGTATCTCTGCTCTCGACTCAGGACGATGAGGATCACCTGTATTTCCTTAACATGCACTTTGATATTTAGTTCTTGGATGAAATAAAGTACATTTTATCCTTCTCCGAATTCTATATTTCTCTTTCATATCTGGACTGGAGGACTTAAAAAGCCTTTTCTTTCCCTTACCCAGTATTTGAATATATGTATTTTATGTATTTTACATAATGTGTCAATAATCTTTGATACGAAACTGGCATTTAACATATCAGGTCTCACTTCATTAAGGATATTTTAATTATCCCATACCTATGGAAGGGAATTTATAAACATCTGTGCTTCGTTTAAGAGTCCAAATTTGCCTCTTAAACTTCAAAGCTGTAAAGCTGATTTTATCCAGGTTTGGTTGTCTGGTCTCTCGAAGCACAACGCATAGCACTGGAACCAGCATTAATTAGGCCAGGCCTCCAGCCCGCAGACCCACGCCCAGCATACACCGCTCATCCACGACCGACACAGCCTCTAACAGCCTGGTCTCGTTCACGTGAGTGAAACAGATGATGCTGCTGAGCTCCACAGAGCCAGGAGGAGGATGACAGTGGTTAGTGGGTCGGGGAGAAGGCACATGACAACGGCATTTGCACCTGCCCAAGTCACAACCGGTCCTTCGCTTTCTCCTCCCAATGGGTGACCAAGGACTGCCTCATTAATAACATAGCCTTGAAGCACTAGGAGTGCCTCATGGCCATTTTCACAGCAACCAGAGATGACTTGCACTGGTAAGCAATGCAGTTTCAGGCTCCCAAGTACCTAAATCACTTCCGAAAAACAGGCTCGAGATATCTGTAAAAAATTATCATGACCCTCTAAACCCTAGAACAGAAATAACCATCATTTCCTGCAGTCAAACAATCCTTACTGACTTTCTGACATCCCCTACAAAGCAGAAAAACTCATCTCTAAGCTCGTGAGCACGGGCAGTAGTGGGAAGGAGAGAAGAGGGTGACTCTCGGACCTACGGCAGGTTTGCAGCCTGCCTTAAACTCCCTCCCACAGGCTGCTCTCAACACACCCCTGAAAAACCGACCTGGAAAAGCAGTGGCTTTACTTCTCCAGCTGCTGTCCCTGCTGGCACCGAGGCCAGACAACATGATGCTGGGCATCAACAGCTTCTGGGTCGTGGCTGTGGAAAGCATTGGTGGTGTCTGCAGAAACTGGACCTGAGCAGACCTCAAAGACCAACTCCTCGCACTATCATCAAGACCCACAACTCCCAGAGGAGCAGCCGCTGCTGGACCACTGTCCCCATCACCTGCTAAGAACCGGAGCTGGTTCCTCACTCGCAGCTCTCCATCCCCGGAGCCTCCGCCACAGTCATCTTCATCGTCACAGTCTCCGCTCTCCTCCTCCTCCTCCGGGGTTTTGCCTGGAGCTTTTCGGTGGGGCAAAGCCATCCCTTTGAGCAGCTGAAAGACATGAGGCGCCACAGTCATTCAACAGCTTCCCTCCACTGTCACTACCGCTTCAGCCCACACTCATAGGGGGATCGGGTGCCAAGAGGGGGACAGGGCTCAGTGGAGCCAGGACAGCAGGACAAGACCTCGTCACGCTCCTCATGCCAAAGCACTGATGAGCTCAGGTTCATTCATGGACAAAGCTGCTCACAAAACCTCAATGGAAGAAACAAGAGGGGGAGCAAAAACCACACTGAGCACTCTGCCCTTCAGCTTCTGCCCATCGAGCATCACATGAGCTAGAGCACGTCCACCTGCCCTGCGAAACCCCAATGACACCCAAGCTCAGGAGACAGCTGCAAAACACACGTCCAGAGTTAAGCCAGATGAGGCAAAAACCGGCAGCAAGAGGAAAGCCTGTTCAGGGATTCTCACTGCTTCCAGGGACTATCTGCCATCTGAGAAGTAACACGCGTGAAAGAAAATGGCACATCTCGCAGGACCGTACGGCGCCCCACTAAAATAACTTCAAAATCTCCTTCCTCGCTCTTGAATTGCAGAGGATGCTAGTCAAAGTTTTTGGGCCAGCCAAGCAACACAAGGAAAGGATCTTTTAAAGGATGTTTTCAAGCCAAGTCCTAACTAAGGGTGACAGGTTGCACCCCCCCGCAATGGGGACTGGGATAGCTCCACTCAGCACGGGGTCAGGACTGCTCCTCAGACACGGGTGGGAGCTCCCCACCCTGCCCCTGTGCAGTGCACGGAGGGATTCGACACATTTTAAGCTATTGGCTTCTTCTTCCCGCTGACTTCTGGTTTTGCTGTTGCTGAAAGCAGCCAGTTATTTCATCACAAACCCAGATCCACTTTGAAAAAGTGCGAGTCAGACAGTTAATATATGCTGAAAATTTCTATCACTACCACTCTGCTGTTAAAAGCCTTCTTGAATTTAATCTCAGCCTTAAAAAAAATAATGAAAAGGATAAGTAACAGAGAAGATATTGCAAAATGGGAGCTTTCCGCATACTTCAGGGGTTTAGTTAGTTCCATCTATTGCAGCAATATGCGTTCCTTTCAAGGCATTTTTTAATATCTGGAATCTAGGTTATATTTTTAAACTATTAAGCTAGCCTTAGAAAACAGTTTCTAAAATATTTAGCTGCTGAAGTTTATACAGCCTTGGAGGAATGCTTTCGGCATCTGGTGTGCTCTGTCCACAGCAATGTCCACATACCTTCGTGTTTGTGTTAGAGGAGCACAACGTAATGAAAAACAAATGGCTCAACAGGAGACCCCTCCGGCTTCCCCAGCCGCGCCTGGCGGGGAGAAGCAACGCGACGAACCTCTCCTTGGCCCGTGCAGAGGTCTGCCTGGCCTGACAGCCATGCCGCATCCCAAATCGATGGTAGGAAGCCCAGCGCAGCTCATCTCCCCAAAACTTGGGGGATGCTTTTCTGTGGCCTTCAACATCCTTTGGCTCAGACTGTTTAAGTTCACTTTTCAGGAATTTAATTTTATTTAGACATTTAAAGGCCTTTCCCAGAATACGGCGTAACCACAAAAGAACAACAAACAAACAAAAAGGCAGCCGCAGCTCTGGGGGTAGCACGGCGAAGACTTCACACAGGAACTGAATGCGCTGACCGCTCAAGCCTTTACGCCATCACCATTCCTCCCCTCCAAACACAGCCCACAGCACAGAGTATATCAGCTGAAGGTACAACGAGCATCTCCCACACACAGAAGCTAATTACAACATGCACCAGTTTGGACCCATTGCCCCAGTACATCATTGCTAAAAAACCAAGCCCATTGCGGTGAAGGGGACCGTGACCGCTCAGCAGCGGGATGCTCGCTCCTCTGCGGGATGCTCGCTCCTCTGCACTCAAGGCATGGAGCACACCAGCCAGGACCCAACGCACGTCTCAGCAGCACAACTTTCATTACTTACCCAAAACAGCAGAGGAACTTTCTGGCAGAGAGAATTAAGCTTTGGGATATTTTCAGATTTAATAAGCTCAGCAGGGGGTTGGGGAAAAATCACGATTTTTCATTTGTATGTTTTCAAACATTAAAATTACTGAGCATTTCTTGTATTACTACTTTTTTCTTGTCATGCCATAAATCAGCAGCTTAATTTCTCTGCCTTTGTAGCCACAACAAAACAGGAACTTTCTGAGAAATGCTGCACGGGCCCCGACTTTGGATCAAGTCAATGCGACACCCCTGCACCACGCTGCTCCTTCCTTTTCTAGGATGAAAGCTCCATCCTTGGCCATGCACTCCCCAGCTACCAGGAGCCATGGGGATATTCAACGAGTCAGATTTTGCAGCTGGCTCTGAGAGAAATGAAGCCCACGACTCAGAACCTACTGGCACCCTTAGAAGAAATCCCTCCCTGCTCTGCTGGTGCATCCAGACCTGGGAATGCTGTCAGATGCCTTGGCTTCGGCCACAGCAGCAGCCACAGTCCTGCTCATCGACCACTGCACAACCTCCCCGATAGTCTGCACGCTTTATGAATTTATACTTAGTGGACTGAACACAGATTCCCCATCCTTAAATAGCAAGCAGATCTGACTGTACCCTAACATTACAGTTTATTCATGTCCTGTGGTTTAAAGCCTATGGTAAGAGGCAGGAAAATACATAGTCTGGCGCTCGCTAAAGTAGTATGTAACAGCGAGGCAGCTTTAACTTAATCACAATTCATCCAGCTGTAAGAGTTTACAGTCGTATCTACTCTTTTTTGCTAAACCATACTGGCAAAAGTACACTATAATGTACGCGATGTAAACTAGAGCACTAATTGTGGGAGTCCATGCGCACGCACGCGTCTCCGAGGTGTCTGCAGGGCATTCACCTCCCATCTGCACAACACCATAGAGTCATTCAGGTTGGAAAAGGCCACCATGGCAGGAGACAAGTGGGCCGCAGCCTTTGCTCCCGACTACAACCTCCATCAGCTCAGATGTGTGTCGGTTTTACTTCCAATCCCATCCCTTTTAAATCGTGACCCTCTGGACAGGCAGTGCCGTGGTACCCCCACTGCCGTGTCAGTGCCGGATCAGCGACACGAGGGACGCCGGGCAGCCCCGGCTGGTGTCCATATACATCTTTGTTGCTTGGCTTGTCCTGTGGTCTCCCTCCAGCTTAAAAAACAAGCCAGATGGGAACGGTGTGCCGAGCCTTTCTGCAAGGAAAGCTCCCCAGGGCATCCCAGCATGATTTACACAATTATTCATAACCACACAGTGACCAGACAAAAACAGATGCAGCAACGCCGGGTAATGACTCAGGTGGATTTGGACGGGCCACCGTATGTTGATATCTTTATAACTCCTCATTCTTTACAACCACTTTACTCAGAACTCACCAGTCCACCAGCCCACTGAGCCACCTGGTCTTGTTTTTCTAATTTTAACATGAACAGTGAGAGCTGCAACATACTTTTTATCATTAATCTCCCGTTTCCAAAAAGAAATCAGTATTGTGTTTCTTGGACTGTAGTTTAATAGCTGTTCTCTCCTTTTGGAAACTACGCCCCTGGTATTGCAAATATCAATTTGAGCAATACGTAAAATTGTGCCCACAAATTCAGATAAAATACTGGCAGTGAGCTACAAGCACTGTGCTCCATGAGGGCAGAAATCATCCCTTTCAACATACTTCAAAAACATGTAAAGTAAAGAGAACAGCCAAAGAGATTATTAAGGGGAATAGAAGACTTAGAAAAACATTTAATTCCTCCATGAGTTTAGGGGAGAAGTCTGATTGATATTTCTAATCTTTTGGTGGACAGAGCTGTCATTTAATTTAGCTTGCATGACTGAAAGAATTTAATAAAAGTGTCCCATAGAGTTATGCTAAAATTCTCAGCGTGTTTTTAGTAAGCCTCTGGAATACGATCAAACCTAAAAAGCTGCAGAGGATGGAGACTGAACTTGCAGCTAAAATAATATTCAGGATTGTAATATACGCTTAATAACCAAGTATTCACATCCAGCAGAAAAAGTGCCTTAATGCAGAAACTCCTCTGGATCCCCAGCTGCGTGTCCAGGTGCCGCTTGGCATCACGAAGGGGACCCTGGGAACAGGACCCACCAGCGAAAACCAGCCCCTGGCTCTGCTAGAAACCCTTCCAAACTCAACCACACCCACCAACTCAGGACCATCCGCAAAACTTCGGACGTCTTCCTTCCGGAGCCTCAGTAAGAAAGAGTTTTGGAGGAGCAACGGTGTCATTCCCCTCGCATCGCAGAAGCCGCCCGCTCCAGCCACACATGTTCGAGTACCCGACGCGGACACCGCTCTACTTCCCTCGCAATTCCCGAGACTCCCGACAGGTCAGGTTTTTCTATTTTAAATTCCAGCCTGCTGAAAACTTTGGGTTAGGGGGAAAAAAACTAGATCTTACAGCCAATCCTGACCTTGAAATCTGCAATACTGAATAATTTATGGGTGGCTTTTAAATCAGGGCAGCATCATGGGAAACATGCAGATTTTCCCACGATACTGTTCCTTGTTAACAGTTCATTAGAATGTACAGAAGTATATTCCCATTATGAAATACAGCTGGGGTTGTTTTGCTTACGAAGGTCATTATCTGATCACAAGGCAGAATCGGGAAAAGGAGCCCATTTCAAAAGCCTGAAGTTGTGGACATTTTGAAAACTCATGTGTTTTGAATTTTGTGGCCTGGTCATACACAGGCATGCAACAGGAGAATCGATTCTCTCCACTTCCTCTGCTTATTAGCCCTGGAAATAGCATGGAAAAAAATTATATTTTATTAGCAAATACCTTCTTTATTATTTAACCAAACTTCATCATGGGATTTGTGGATGCCCTCCACTCCACTTTCGTATTTTCCAGCTCCGTTCGGTTTATTCTTTCTGCGGATGGGGACCTCGGTGGCACAGGAGCGTGCGCAAGCAAAAACTCAATGCAACATCAACAGCATCATTTTCACTTGCTTCTTTCCAAGCTCTAGAGAGCTTTCCCCCTCTTGG